TCAGAGAGTTTGTTGAACACAGTGGAAAGAGTAACTTTAATAAGAGTCGATACATGTAATCACAGCAGTGCAAACTCAACAACAATCCCGACTTCACGCACTGGCTGACTAAGGGCACAGTCGAGGTGTGGTTCTCACAGACACAGATGGCAGCTAACATGTTGCTAATGGTTGTAAAAAGTGGAGCTCAGAGTTATTGGACTGTCTGAACCAAGCGCACAGCAAGACAGATTATTTGTCTGATATTTACGTGAAAAAATCTCCAAAAGGCTCCAACAGCCCAAACACGGTCCAGAGCTGAAGTTCAGTGACTAAATTAGCTGAGGGGACAACTGGCAGACAGCTAGAGGCCACACCCCTAATTCTACATGACTCCCTGCAGGAGTAAGCCTCTAGTGGACAGTACAGGAACTGCAATTTTTAGCACTTAGGTATTGGCTTAAGATTTAACATGCTGTGCGTGTATAAAACATTACAGCCTCATAATGAGAATATATTAATGTTCTCTGCTGTGTTTTGATGTCTCTGGTTTGATGTTCTTCAGTTTCAGACAAGAGACAGAACCGCTGGATAGGACCTACACAGAGTCACAGCGGTGTGTATCATAAACCACACTAACATGTTTACACACACACACACGCACGTACGCATGCACACATGCACACAAACACACACACACACACACGCACACGCACGCACGCACGCGCCACACACACACACACACACACACACACACTCACTGGTTTCCTAATAATGTTGTTATGAGTGTTAACCTAAGACTATATATTTATTTTTCTTATTTTTTTTATTTTTTATTTCAGTGTCGTACCAGCGAGGAAAGGGTGTCGTTCAAAGCACAGACGTTGAGATGAGAATGTCCTACCCTGGTGACTATAACATTTGATTTTTATTTTGAACATGTTAAAAACAAATAAAAAACAAAGAAATGCTGTAATTAAAAAGATGTTTAAAACAAATAAAATAAAATATAATATAATATATACATCATAGACATTCATGCATAAATGTGTTTCTGCAACTACAAGAGCTTTGACTCTCTTTAAAATTAGAAGGAATCACCCTCGACACATTTTAATCCACTGGAGTTTATAATAAGGATGAGGATCTTTAACTTTCTGTTCTTAGAATAGAATAGAACAGAATGGAATGCAACAGAACGGAGCAGAACAGAGCAGAACAGAATAGAATAGAAAGGCATATAATATGCTCTTATAGAGTCAGCCTTACAAAATATAAAAGATGAAAGAGCATCAGAAAAAAATGATGAAAATGGTCAATTGAAAAAATAATCAAATCTGTTAAACAAAATACATTACATTATTGAACACTGAAACATTGCTTGTTCCTTTCCTGCACATTGTTGCACGTCACCTTATTTAACATAGTATTATTGCACATTTTGTTATTGTGCATTGTTATTATCTCACAGTAAGTTATTGCACATCACCTTATTTACCATTACTGTTGTACTAGTTTTCCCATTGTTCTCATTGCACATAATGATATTGCATATTATTTAATAGCACATCTCCTATCGAACATTACTTTATGGAAAATCATAAAGCAATCAATACAAATAATTATAATATTAATATATATAATTTTTCAACTGCTCAACTTTTTACATTACCTACATTTTTCTGACCATCAATATGTGGGGAATTTGCTTCTTTTTTTCCCTTTAAAATTTTTCATTTACGTTATTAAATTACTTATTTCATAAACCAAGTTCATTTTAAATGTATATAACACTTTGTACATTTATGAAGCATCACATGTCAGATTTTTAAATAATTGCTCGGTCAAAGTCTGTAGCTGCAGAAATATTCATTTATTTTATTTGTTTAATGATGTATTTATAAACGCAGTACTTTTTTGTCTCTATTTTTTGAATCAGCTCTGGAGAGGCTGACAGTCAATGACAGCAGAGAACCGTCATCCAACAGGAACAGTGGCTACACCTTCTGACCATCTTCAGCATCATCATCATCCTCTGTTTGTGTGCTTTCATACGTGATTATTTCTGAGTTGAATTTTTGTGCACACTGCCGATTAGTCTCATACTAAGATCTATTGTAGATTTGGGGTTTTTAAAGTAGGGTCCTGACCTCTAAGGAGTCACTATGGGGTCACCAGGAGGTTAGTGTTAGGTTAGAGTTAGTGCGCAAAAACAAGTAAATTTGATTTCCCCCTTTCTGTCTCCACTAAACATATCTAGGCTACTTAAACTACTAATATTAATATGTCAAACAGATTTATATTCCTGTGTTACATTTTTGAACGTTAAAGTAACAAAAGAGAGTGGAAAATAGTGTATCTTAACATAAATCCCAACCCTGACAATTCACATAGCCAATCATAGTTTAGGATTTTGGTGTTGCCACTTGGGTGGCAAATCAGATACAACAGGGGTCATGGTCATCCCCTGAATGTGCCACAAGGGGGGTCCCCACCATAGGCTGATGCTATATTGGCGTCCTTGGCATGGCACAGTTTGAGAACACGTGTTAGATCATGTGTCAGTGACAACTCATTGTTAATTTCTGCATCATACTGCTCTTACTGTACATACAGTGATTATTTACAACCTTTTATATATTGATTGTAAACTTTATTTTGCAGGTGCTTTTATAATAAAGTAGGAGAAAATAAACAGACATACATCTGTTCCATCAGACAGGTGTGTAGTAAAATGAAAAATGCGAGCAAACTCTTTCACACTGACTGACTGTCAAAAAAACATGACATTATTAAAGTATCCGAGTTTAACCTAATTTATTGTCTTTGAGGGTTTTGATTGGAAAGTGTTGATGAGGTTGAAGGAGGAGGAGGTGGTTTCTAAGTTCAGTATGTGGTTTCCTCTTCCGTCAACACTTTTCCTGTTTGTTTTATTTCTGTCGTCTACAGCACCTCCTCTCCTCCTTTACTCCTCCTCTGTGTCTCCTCGTCTCAACTTCCTCTTGTTGTTCTTTCAGCCTCTGCATGCAGAGGATTCATTAAAATATGGATACGTACTTATTCAGTGTTTTGCTAGTTTTAATCAGCAGGTCTGTTTGATTTAGATAGGAGCAGGAAGTCGTCTCCTCTGTCACCACCATCAACCTGTAGGGGGCAGCACTGCTCACAGAAACTGAACCTGAACCAGTGACCTAAAATGTGCTTTAACTGAACTGGGGATCTAGCTTTGTCCCAAAATAACTGATCACACACGCACACACACACACACACACACACACACACACAAACACACACACAGGAAGTTTGCTTGATCTATATCTTTCGTTGTCAGTGTATTTTTGTCGATTCTACACAGCCACATTTGCGTTAAAATGAGCGTGTGTGGATTTGTTGGTGTGTTTGATGTCCACTGCCTGTGTGTGTGTGTGTGTGTGTGTGTGTGTGTGTGTGTGTGTGTGTGTGTGTGTGTGTGTGTGTGTGTGTGTGTGTGTGTGTGTGTCCATCTGTGTATGAGTGGGTGTATTGTGCCTCATCCTTCTGTGCTCAGGTCACAGTATGAGATGATAATCTGGCCTCGTTGCAAATGTCCCGCACAGAAACAATGACAGCTGACTGCAGATTACAGAGGGGGATTATACAGAGCAGAGGAGCGGAAATATGGATGATTGAGAGACAGAGACTGTCGGATGAAGATGTTTTAAAGTTAAAGAACAAAGATGAAGAAAACTGGAGAAAATTATTCAAATAAAACTGTTTTATTAAAGTTCTAAAATGTCTGCAGGAGAACATGGAGGTGATTATTTGACCATCGCTCCTCACCCACAGGTTGCTATCTGATCTCCACACACAGACACACATAAACACAGAACCATCAACACTGATAGAAAATAAACATCTGCAGAGTAACCGTGGAGCTGCTGTCAGAGCTGCTGCAGATAAAATAACTTTTGGAGCGAGGGTTTCTGTGGGATTATGAGTGTGAGCGGTTCTGTGTGGAGCAGCAGGAGGTCACATGAAATAAAAACCCTGAACACATAAACTCTGTTTTCATTTAGAAAATAAATCACTTTAACAGAAGCCCGTAGATAATCATACAGATTATAGTTTTCCTCAATCATTTTGGCTCATTTTTGGAAACAGTCTTAACACTCTCTTAACTGTAAGTACAATAGTCACAAACTCTACTGCATGTCTTCAATAGGTCATGATTCACCCAAAACATTTCATATACATTTCCAAACCTAGTTTTTGTGTCAGTGTATTGGCATCTGCCAACAAAAGGAAAAGTTGTTTTGTCATGATGTGAGCCGTTCTGGTCAAAATGTTTCAGCCTTTGATGAAAGTAAACCCATATAAAGTTTTTTACACTAACATCTAATTCTTCAAACATTTTTGCTGACACTGACTGCTTACTCTTCTTTACAACTATCTTTCAGCTCACTGAATGCTACTTTCTGTATCATACTAAGCTTTAGATTGAGAATTCAACAATCTGAAAAAATCCATATTTTACAATACAGACGCTGTACACTTAAAGACCGGTACATCGATATGCAGTAAATCTGATTATGTTACAATGTTTTCTAAAATGTAAATAATTTGCCACAAAATGACACCTGTGTGTTTCCTAGTTCATTACTGGTAGCTCAGTTGACAGTTTATCAGACACAACACACATCCCATGTTATGGATATGAATATACATGCATGTCTGACACATTTTGATAACTGAATGGACCATTTTTTCTTTTGACAGCTCAAATGATGAAAGAAAGTTTAGAAGATGTGAAGAATTTGACAGTTCTGTGGAGAATCAACTCATCAGTGAACGAGGGAATTTATTTGTACTAACTTTTTTGTACCAAAAACAATGTATCAAAAACAATATAAACTCCTTAATAAAAGGTATGGAAACGTTATTTCGGTCAATTATTTTGCCCCTTTAATAATATTAATTGGTGTTGTATTTTAATATCGTTGGACAGCCTGATTAGTCACCTTTACAACAAGATATAACTTGTAACTTGTGGGTAGCTCCCTAAAAAATGTGCCAAAATCCTCTGTAATGTTCTTCTGTTGGTATTCAGGGAGCAGATTCAGAGTTCAGAGTTCAGAGTTCATATTCAGAGAAAAGAGATTGTTTTACACATTGGAGCAAACAACACTGATCAACACTTTGACAGCGGGAAACAAATATCAGAGTACTTCTACCTGAGAGAACAGACGTCAGCTCTGAACCTGAACCATGAGACGAGGTGAGCATAAACCTGTATAATGTGTGTAGTTTGTGTGTGAGGTTCATCAGGTGAGTGCACATTGATCCAGTCTAATCCTGTCAGGGTTTAAAGCATGTGTGTGACAGGTGAAGGATCAGTGTGAAAAGTCAGATCAGATAACACCTTCAAAGTGAGAAGATGTTATTCCTCAGAGTCAGATTTGATGCCAGGGTGTGTGTGTGTGTGTGTGTGTGTGTGTGTGTGTGTGTGTGCGCGTAAGCGATTAGTTCAGTTTGTGTGTATAATGTGTGTAGTTTGTGTATCATGTGTGCAGTTTGTGTATAATGTGTGCAGTTTGTGTATAATGTGTGCAGTTTGTGTATATTGTGTGTAGTTTGTGTATAATGTGTGCAGTTTGTGTATATAATGTGTGCAGTTTGTGTATATTGTGTGCAGTTTGTGTATAATGTGTGCAGTTTGTGTATATTGTGTGCAGTTTGTGTCTATAATGTGTGTAGTTTGTGTATATTGTGTGCAGTTTGTGTCTATAATGTGTGCAGTTTGTGTGTATAATGTGTGCAGTTTGTGTGTATAACGTGTGCAGTTTGTGTATAATGTGTGCAGTTTGTGTATATTGTGTGCAGTTTGTGTATATTGTGTGCAGTTTGTGCATATAATGTGTGCAGTTTGTGTATATTGTGTGCAGTTTGTGTATATATTGTGTGCAGTTTGTGTATATTGTGTGCAGTTTGTGTATAATGTGTGTAGTTTGTGTGTATAATGTGTGCAGTTTGTGGATATTGTGTGCAGTTTGTGTATATTGTGTGCAGTTTGTGTATAATGTGTGTCGTTTGTGTATATAATGTGTGCAGTTTGTGGATATTGTGTGCAGTTTGTGTATATTGTGTGCAGTTTGTGTATATAATGTGTGCAGTTTGTGTATATTGTGTGCAGTTTGTGTCTATAATGTGTGCAGTTTGTGTGTATAATGTGTGCAGTTTGTGGATATTGTGTGCAGTTTGTGTATATTGTGTGCAGTTTGTGTATATAATGTGTGCAGTTTGTGTATATTGTGTGCAGTTTGTGTCTATAATGTGTGCAGTTTGTGTATATTGTGTGCAGTTTGTGTATATAATGTGTGCAGTTTGTGTATATTGTGTGCAGTTTGTGTATATAATGTGTGCAGTTTGTGTGTATAATGTGTGCAGTTTGTGTATATTGTGTGCAGTTTGTGTATATAATGTGTGCAGTTTGTGTATGATGTGTGCAGTTTGTGTATATTGTGTGCAGTTTGTGTCTATAATGTGTGCAGTTTGTGTATAATGTGTGCAGTTTGTGTCTATAATGTGTGCAGTTTGTGTATATTGTGTGCAGTTTGTGTGTATAATGTGTGCAGTTTGTGTATATTGTGTGCAGTTTGTGTATATTGTGTGCAGTTTGTGTATATAATGTGTGCAGTTTGTGTGTATAATGTGTGCAGTTTGTGTATATTGTGTGCAGTTTGTGTATATTGTGTGCAGTTTGTGTATGATGTGTGCAGTTTGTGTATATTGTGTGCAGTTTGTGTATATTGTGTGCAGTTTGTGTATAATGTGTGCAGTTTGTATATATTGTGTGCAGTTTGTGTATAATGTGTGCAGTTTGTGTATATTGTGTGCAGTTTGTGTATAATGTGTGCAGTTTGTGTATATTGTGTGCAGTTTGTGTATATAATGTGTGCAGTTTGTGTATATTGTGTGCAGTTTGTGTATAATGTGTGCAGTTTGTGTATATTGTGTGCAGTTTGTGTATAATGTGTGCAGTTTGTGTATATTGTGTGCAGTTTGTGTATATAATGTGTGCAGTTTGTGTATATTGTGTGCAGTTTGTGTATAATGTGTGCAGTTTGTGTATATTGTGTGCAGTTTGTGTATAATGTGTGC